TGTTCTTTGGCGGCCGGGGCTGGGGATACGAACCTGCCACCTTAGGTGTATGTGGCTGGCGCCTTAGCTGCTTGAGCCACAGGCGCCGAGCTGAGTCCCACTTATTCTTTCAGTGCTGATCTCTATGCCAGTTCCTCAAGGTGACCTCTCTATTGTGGCACCCTGGGCCGTCATGAGCACATTCTCACTGGAGACACAGTCATGTATGTCCAGGTCCCAGCTGAGGAGTGAACCTGAGGGATGGGTCTGGCAACAGACAGTGGCTCCCCCAAACTGTAGGGTGCCCACCTGGTTGTCCCTATCACAAGACAATTCCTAACCCTTGGAAAAAAACAATTTGTTCAGTAATGGGGAAGCCCCAGCTTTGCTGAACTCATCTCTTTCAGGTGGATCCTCCCAGATCATCCCATTATTACTATTACTAAACAACCTTCACTCCTGTCCCCCAACTGGCTCTCATAGCTCCCCCCAATTAATCCACTTCTAACATGATTTATTAATCATTCTCCCCCCCCCAATCATCTGATTCTTGAAGACAGACAGACTCATTCTCAACTCCTATCATGGGACCTGGCACTAAATGAATGAATTGTTTAAGGCTTGCTTCTTCTGCCTCAGGGTATTTCAGTAATGGTAAGCCTCCGGCCACAGGGCCTTTACAATAGTCTTATCTGTGCCCTCTTCTCCAACCCTGAGCCTGCTGTAGCTAATCCCAGTTCTTCCTTCAGATTTTCTTCTCTCAAGGCACTTCCCTGTAAAACAGGGTCCCCTCTGTAGGTTGAGATTTCTGTACTTCACTGAAAAATGCTCCCCAACCCCATCAAGCATGAATCAATAAATAGGAGATAGGTATTGGAAAGGGGTGGGCAAGGCCCCAACAGCCCAGCCCACCCAAAGCCAGACAGCAACTGGCATGCCAAACGGCACTTCAGGTATTTAGAAGAAGAGTTTGGGTCTCATGGGCTGCACACTCACAAAAATTGCATCCTCATCTCTGCCCTCTGAGGCCTATCCAGGCTGAAGCCCTAAATGTAGCCAGAGCTCTGGCCACAAGTGTGGGAAGACTGGGGCCCTCAATCTGGTGGAACCTCCAAGGCATCTAAGAGTGGTGTAAAGGCGCCCTCCCCACTCTCTTCCCGGCCAGAAAGGATCCCAGTGACAGCGCCCATTCAGTTGGTACGGTTCCAGCCACATACACCAAAGCTGGCAGGTTCGAACCTGGCCCTGGCCAGCTAGAAGACCAATGACAACTGCAACAAAAAAAATAGCTGCGCATTGTGGCAGGCGCCTGTAGTCCCAGCTACTTGGGAGGCTGAGGCAAGAAAATCGCTTAAGCCCAAGAGTTTGAGGTAGCTGTGAGCTGTGATGCCAGGGCACTACCCAGGATGACGGCTTGAGACTCCGTCTCAAAAAAAAAAAAAAAAAAGGATCCTGGGGTGGAAGAGGATTCGACGCTGGAGCCACTGCGGAGAGTAACACTCACGGGCCCTGACCCAGCCCAAGCTTCAGCTGCTGGCCAGGCCTACTACCACCCCTGCCACTGCTGGACTACCCAGGCCCCTCTGGGGTTCCGATGTCCACGCCTTTGCAAAACTACTGCTGGGTACCCACTAGAGGGCGCGCTGACCTTGCCAGACCCAGATAGTGAGGCGCAGGGGACGAGTGTAACAAAAGGGCGAGCAGTGCACCAGGACTGAGGCGAAAAAGGTGCCCTTGGTGGTGGTGCCTGTGGCTCAAGAAGTAGGGCTCCAACCTCATATACCAGTAGATGGCAGATTCAAACCCAGCCCCAGCCAAAAACTGCAAATAATAATAATAATAAAATTAAAATTAAAAAAAAAATGCCCTCCTTGCAACCCCCAGGCTAGTTCTAGAATGACTCCTGGCTCCTTGAACGGAAGTAGGCCAAGTTTTTGAGTTTGTTGGTCAGCCTGCCCCACCCAGTGCTCTGGACACACTACTTGTTTCTTTAGGTCCCCAGGCTGCTGCATGGGAGGAAGTCCCTGCTGGTCTCTACCCACCCATCCCTTTGTTTTCCCTGAAAGGTTCTGTGGTAATTGCACCAGTATTAGACTGCTGGGAGACACTGGCAGCAGAGGGATAGGGGTCTGCTGAGCCTGGCACAGAAGGGAGGGGGGAGGACAACACTCCCAGACACCCTGGAGGTTCCATGAGATCTGTCAGCCTCCCTACCACGAGGGCCTCCAACCTATACTACTATATCTGCCCCTTCACACACTAAGCTTTAGGGAGAATTGATTTGCCTCTAAATGGGCTCAGCTCTGGCCACTGTTAGGTCCCAAAATCCTCCCAATCAGCCCCAACAGACGAATCCGAGACACACTCCAATGTAAAAGGCATGAGGTGAGGTTTTATTCAGACCGGTCTGGACTCTCCTGGTATGCAAGCCTAGGACAAGCCCCGAACCCGGGGTGGAGGAAGTTTTTATGGGGTACAGAAAGCAAGAGGGGTAGGGTCGGATACGAGTACACTTTTCATTGGTGGTTGATGATTTCTTTTCTTTTTTTTTTTTTGAGACAGAGCCTCAAGCTATCCCCTTGGGTAGAGTGCCATGGCATCACAGTTCACAGCAACCTCCAACTCCTGGGCTCAAGCGAGTCTCCTGCCTCAGCCTCCCAAGTAGCTGGGACTACGGGCACCTGCCACAACGCCCGGCCATTTTTTGGTTGCAGCCATCATTGTTGTTTGGCGGGCCCAGGCTGGGGATTCAAACCCACCACCTTAGGTGTATGTGGCTGGCGCCTTAACTGCTTGAGCCACAGGCGCCGAGCCGGTGGTTGGTGATTTCATTAGTAAAGGAGGATTTGCATTGGTAGCTGATGATTTCACTAGTAAAGGTGAATTTGGATTGGTACAGGTGAGGAGTGGGGGGTCTCTTAACTGGGGGCTAGAGCTGGTGCAGCCTGATTACCTGCATTTCAAGGTAATAGAAACTTATTGTTTATTATAGCAGCTGTTTGCCTAAGGTGACTCAGTTTATGGCTCAGTGGCTGTGCAACCTGGGGTGGGGGAGAGGCAGCAGAGAGTGGCCCTGCAGATACTGGCAGAGGTTGGGGCAGAAGGGCTAGGAATAGAACTTATGGGTAAACAGCCAGGAATGGGGCTTGTGCTGTAAACAGCCAAGAATGGAGCTTGTGCTGTAAACAACAAAATGGAGCTAGTTTGGCTCTCACACCACCACACCAGCTCAGAAGCCCTGGTCTTAGTTTGGTTGTCTCAAGTTCAGTTAAATACCTGTTCCAGGGCTCGAAGCCTATAGCTCAACCGGCTAAGGCGCCAGCCACATACACCTGAGCTGGCGGGTTCGAATCCAGCCTGGACCCGCCAAACAACAATGACGGCTGCAACCAAAAAACAACTGGGCGTTGTGGCGGGCGCCTGTAGTCCCAGCTACTTGGGAGGTGGAGGCAGGAGAATCTCTTGAGCCCAGGAGTTGGAGGTTGCTGTGAGCTGTGATGCCACGGTTCTCTACCCAAGGCGACAGCTTGAGGCTCTGTCTCCAAAAATAAATAAATAAATAAATACCTGCTCCAGATAGGGGTCTTGGAGCTTGGGCCAGTGAGAGGAAGTGCAAAGGGCCCCAAAACAGGAGAGAGAAAGGCTGTTGGCTGTGTGCTCACCCTAAGGAAGATAACACAGCTAGTCTGGCTTCCCAGTCTGGATTTATTCTCACCTCCTGCCTTTGCCCAGAGTGTTCTCTTCCTCGGAAACCACTCTCCTTTCCCAGTTTTTTCCAGAACTCACTTCCATCTCTGCTGACCTCCCTTACTACTCCTGTAGGCCTCACAGGTACTAGGACCCTGTCCTGGAAGAGAGAGGTTGTAGAAAAGGAGATGTATCACTCATTCAACATCTATTATGCATGTGCTGTGTGCCAAACTGGGCTAGGTAGTAACTGATAACCCAGGGTGGGACAGGAACAGGACAGGTGGACAGCTTGCTCTTGCAGCCATTACTTTCTAATGAAAGCCAGGCAGGGCTGCTTCAAATCCAATCAAGTCCCCCAAACTGGGGAATGCAGAGTGGTCTCAGCATAGCAAGTGCAGTAATCCTGAGGGGGAATGAGGTTGGTTGTCTGTTCCAGGTGCAAGGAAGCCACTGAAACTGGAGATGAGGCAGCTAGAGAAGAGGAGGAGTGGAAGGTGGGGAGACAAGGCCAGAATACCTTGCAGGATCCTCACTATGTGTGAGATACATACCATGGGAGGCTTGCCAGTGGGGTTAGAGGAGAGTTATGGCATCTGACATTATTTAATGGTGTAAACTTGGCGGCACCCATAGCTCAGTGGGTAGGGCACCAGCCACGTAGACCAAGCCTGGCGGATTCAAATCCAGCCCAGGCCAGGTAAAACAACAATGACAATTGCCAACAAAAAAATAGCTGGACGTTGTGGCAGGTGCCAGTAATCCCAGCTGCTTGGGAGGCTGAGGCAAGAGAATTGCTTAAGCCCAAGAGTTGGAGGTTGCTGTGAGCTGTGACACCATGGAACTCTACCCAGGGTGACATAGTGAAACTCTCTCCAAAAAAAAAAAAAAAAAAGTGTAAACTTGGTGAGTAGAGAGCATTCCTTGGGAATAAGGCAGAAATTAGGAAGAGGCTGTTAATAGGGATGAGGGTAGTTTAGTTTGGGGAGGGTAGGGCTGGCAAGATTTAGTGATCCCTTGGGTTGTGGGTCTGGGAAGTGCTGAGGCATCAAGTCCAGGATGATTCCAGGTCTGCAGCTTGAGGGATAAGGTGGGTGGTAGTGTCTTTGTGAAAAGGGAGGACCCTTTACCTTTTTACCCATCTTCACAGTACTGGCATGGGTGGCCAGGCCTTGCTACCTCTCCCCCAGAAGACATGGGCCCCAACACCTGCAGGGCCTGTGGGAGGTGGGACACCTGGGAACCCCTCCTGAGAACAGGGTTACCCTTCCAGGAGTCCATGGTCACCTGATGCTGCTGGGCTGACAAGGCATTCAGACTGTGGCTGGAGTCCATGGGGGTCCAGTCTTTCCTGATCTCTCCCTTCCCCCATCTAAACCATTAACTCTGGATTCCTGCTTGTTCTGGCAAAAGGGTCTTTAAGGTCTCTCACACTGGCCCTTCACCAGATGGGTCTCTGCTGGGGCAAGGGTGAAGGGGGTGTGTGCAGGGGCTTTGGGAGTGAGAATCCTGAGCCATGGCCCAAAGTGGGAGGTAGCTGGACCTTAAAAGAGGGTGGTACCCCAATCACCAAAGTATTTCACTATATTAACTTAGGAGGGCAGGTTGAGATAATGAGTGGTTAACCCAGGGTCTGATTCTTACTCAAGAAGAAAGAAGGGGTGGGATAGAAGTATTGGGAACAAGTGCAGGTAGGCCTTCAAAGTGGGTGTGTGGAGGGTCAAGACCTCATTTCCCAAACACACCCGTCCCTCTATTCCAGAGTGACCCGTGGTGATGGCATATTCCCAGCTGTCAGGTCTTTACCTCTAATTCTTGGCGCAGTTTGTGTCTTCTCTGGATCCTAGATTTACATGGAGTGGGTGTGCCGGGCGATGACAAGCTGCCAATGCCCCTCCCGCTCTGCAGAGGAATTTACAAAGGAACCACGGCACAGGGTCGAGGTTCAAGCCCACTTCCAACCCTGCGCCCTAACTGTCCGGGTGACGCCCTAAAATGCAGAGTGCAAAGAACTGGTGTGGGAGTGCACAAAGGTCCTGGTTAGCCCTGGGCCACCTAAGGCTCAAGAACTATCCGGGACTCACTTCCCCTCTTCTTGCTTCGACCAGGGTCGCTCTGCGGGAGCGCTGGAGCCCCTATCCTCCCTTGGCCCAGTCGGTTCCAGATCCTCCAGGTCAGGGAGGCACAAGGAAACAGGGGTGAGGGCTGCACAGAGAGGACTTTTGGTACTCAGGGATGGGCTAGAAACAGCGGCGAGCTGGGTCTCTGGGTGAGCGGGCTGAGAGCCTGGGGAGCCAGAGAGTACCTGGATCTATCGATGCGCTCTGCGTGCAACGCGGTTAAGGGAGCTGGCTGGAGGTTGGGCCAGGGCGGGGCGGCTAGCTCTGACTGGGAGGGATGTTCCTGGCAGCGAGTTATTATTGGCTGGTTGTTTTCGGAGAGGCGGGCTCTGATTGGCCGGCGGCTGCGGGTGGCTGCGAGCGGCGGGGTTAAGTGCGTCGCCGCCTCCGCCCCCGCCTAGGAGCTAGCAGAGAACGTTGAACCCGCATCTAGGACTTTCAGCGGCGTTCGCACGCCATGGGCCTCCGCCCCTGCCGCGCATCGCTGCTGCCTGGTGGCCTGCTGTTCCTCTTGCTGCTGCTAATGTTGCTGGCGGACCCAGCGCAACCGGCCCGACGTCATCCCCCGGTGGTGCTGGGTGAGGCGCGCGTCTGGTAGTGGGTTCGTCTGTCCAGCAGGATGGGGTGAGGGTGGGGCTGTCTTCCTAATCTTCACCTGTTACAAGCACTGGATGCGGGAGCGTTTTGGCGTCTGTTTTGTCAACTAGGTCGGTGGGTCCACCTCCTGCCATGCTAGGCGCGGGTGTGGTCAGCTTCCCACCACCTGCCTGGGTAGAAGATTAGGGTGAGTGGGAGAGTTACCATCCGGTTTATCCATATGTCAACGTCAGCCCCAAGCCTTACTTCACCTTATCCCCATTTTTAGCTGGAAAGACCGAAGGACTTTGGCCCCACTCCTGAGGGTTGGTGGGATGAGTAGAGTGACCTCAGAGTTGTTCTTCACGTCGACCTGGGCCCTGGCTAGAAAGTTGTCACCTTTTATCCTTCCAATCCCCCGTATTTCAGAAGGCATTATTGAAAGGATGGTCTTTGGGGAAAGGATGGCTCTCCTAGCTGGCCACCAGCTCCCCTCCCAACTTATCGAATAAGTGGCATTGGGCCTGAAGGAGGAAATCTAAGGGAAACTGAAGATGGCTGAAGATGGGAAAGGTTTGGGGGCAACAGGCATTAGTAGGTGTCAGGGGAACATGCCTGTGTTCTCATCCCTACCAGACCTAGTTGGACTAGGCTATCTTTGGGCTTGAGGGACCTCCCCTTTCCACCTTCTCCTTGGTCACAACTCTAGCAACTGAATGAGAGTCAAAGTGTTTTTTTGTGGTGATGGGCAGGGATGAGACGTCTGTCTCCTGGGTCTTGAGTGCCTTGTTCAGGCCATCATTCTCACCTAGAGTTGTGTCGGTGGCCAGCCAGGACACCTCAGGGCAGAGGCTGAATCTGCTACAGCATGACCTCCTGTGCTCTTTCTGCTCAGAGTATTTTAATGGGGATGATGCAGATCACAGAAGTGTAGGATTGGTGGGCAGGGTGATGCCAGGGAGGCCCACCAGGAGTTCCAGGCCAGGAAATGTTTCAGGAGGATACTGGGCCTAGTTTTACCCTGGGATTTGGACAGATTTGGCCCTACCTTCCCCAAGCTTGCAGGATAGGACTAACAATGGTCTCTAGAGATGAGGCCTGTAATGAATAAACAGAGAATCCACTAACCCAGCCTGGTGGGTGGGTGTCAGGGAAAACTTCTTGGAATATATCTGGAGCTAAGGCCAGGAGAGACTTCCAGGCAGAGGAAGGTGACCAGTTCAGGCTGGCTGGAATCGAGTCAAGGGAGGAATGGATTGTACAAGACTCGTGACTGGTCGGGTCATTTGGACTTTATCCTGGGGGCCTCAGAGAGCCACAAATGGGCCTGTGGAGTTTTGAGTTTGAAGGATGTGGCATTGGGAAGCTTGTAGTATATGGCTAGCACACAGCCTTTCCACCTGGATTAGTGCTAACTGCATTCATTAATTCAGACAGTCTTTATTACCTTAGGTCTCAGAAGCAGCACTTCAGGCTCACCTGTAGTCACTGAGCAGCTAGCATTCTAACCTGACCAACTTCTCAGGGAATGAGACTCCTGGCATAAATCCTGGGAGACTCCATGGTGAGCACTGGAGCAACTCAATTGACAAGTTGCTCCTGGACACAAAGCAGGGATCTGATCCTGGCCATCAAATGATCAAAATTCCCTAGGGGGTGGGTTCCAAAATGGTAGTGGAGGAAACAGATCAGAGAAATGATTCATAAGACCCTGAGCAAGGGACTATAGGCAAGGCCATGTCCACATTTCAGCCTACTCTCCTCATCTGCCTATTTGCCTTATCTGTTAAGTGGAGATAATATGGATGTTATCTCTCAGTGTTTTTTGAGGTAAAGTCACATAGACGACTCTTGTCCTAGTTCCTTCCAGGCACAGAGGGGCTCAGGATGTGACCACTGCTATTTTTAGAGACCAAGGAACGTCTGGGCAAAGCAGATCTGGTGATTTCCTCTTTTGACCATTTCCTCTTTGGTGAAGGCAGTCTTTCTGCATTGCCCTGTCCAATCCACAGGGATGTCAACAGAGGTTATTATGAGGGGGACTCCCTACCTCTGCACCCATATCATGAAGGGAGGTAAAGTCAGCTGCCCCACCTGGCTGCCATGGTGCCCTGAAGACACAGGATGGGCACGCCCTGTCAATTCCCAGGAGACCCACACTGGCTTTTTACTCAGTGATCCTGGATCACTGGGAGATATGATAACTGAGGTCATTCATTGGGAGTAAATAGACTGTGTAGTGCTTTGAAGCAATGAGATTTGGGTGTTCCAAGGGCCCTAGGGCTCTGTGTGTTTTAAACAGGCTGGCTGAATGGAGAAAAATCATCCTTAGGGCATGGTCATGCCTAGCCCTACTGGGCTGTGGCTGGCCTACTGTGTAGTTTCAGGGTGGCTATCTTCAACATGAGCTCCCAACAATGAGAGGGCCTTCCAGAAGATCTCTGCTGTCTGGAACCTTACTGGGGTCTGGCCTTCAGTAAGGCCTGGGGGACCTCAATAAGGTGGCATGTGCCAGCATAAGCTTAGTTGGGTTTCAGTTCATCACCTCCCTTCCACAAGCCTGTCCTGGAATACCTTCTCTTGATTCACTTTTGGCTGGCCCAGTGCTCTGTTGTGTTTCTTACTCCCTCTCTGCAGGTAAATAAGGCCTCGTTTGCTTTGTCTGTAGCTTTAAGATAGCTGTGGGTAGAAGACTTTTGGGCTCTAGACTCGAGGGTGTATATGTAATGATAGGACCTTGGCCAAACTTTGGGAGTTCTGGTGCTCCCAGTCACAGCTCTCAAATGGGTCCATTCATCATACAAACCACATGTTGTAGAGGAGTGTGTTTATGGAGGTAATTCAGGCCAAGATCTCATTTAACAGGTAAGGAAACTGAGGCCCAGCATGGGAAAGTGACTTCACCCTCAGCCCCCTTCTTATAGTCTTTAAATGGCCGAGGAGGATGTTGCAGTGAAGATCTAAGGGATTTATTTTATCTGGATTTGGGGATAGTGTTAGAGGCCTTCCACAAAACATGTGAGGTCTCTCCCAGGTGTCCATGCAGGCTTCTCACTTGCCTGCTACGTAATGGCAGTAAGTACCTTTTCTGCATGACGATGGTAGCATGGCCTCTCAATCAAGGTCTCTGTTCTTTGGTTTTTCCTGCCACCAGTACTGTGCTTTAATTTAGATGTGGAAGTGCAGAGATTCACCATGGCCCCTATGGGGGTCTAATGCAGACTTCAAAGTACTTAGGGGTCTTGAGCCTGCCAGGCTCAGGGCGAATGCATGTCCTATGCCTCTCTGCAGTGCCTGGTGATTTGGGCAACCAGCTGGAGGCAAAGCTGGACAAGCCAACGGTGGTGCATTACCTCTGCTCCAAGAGGACTGACAGCTACTTCACACTCTGGCTGAACCTTGAACTGCTGCTGCCCGTCATCATTGACTGCTGGATCGACAATATCAGGTTGGGGACTGGGGCAACAGATGGGGTACTGCTCAGAGAGGCCTCTAGAGCCCATTCCTTCTTGTCTACACCTCGAGAGTTCACTGACCTCTTTCTTTCCTCTGTCCTCAGTCTGTTATGGTCAGCACCTCCTCTGCACTTTCCCATGCAGAACTTTCTTCCCCTTCTAGCTGCTCTTGTCCCTCCCCTCTCAGTTCACAGTAGCTACTCCCCAGCTCCTATTCAGAGCCTCAGCACAGGCCTCCACCCCTTTCTGTGCCTGTGACTTGTGGTTTGTAGGACACTGTATCTCTATGTCTTTGCATGTGCTATTTTTTCTTCCTGGGAAAACAGCAAGCACCCTTTGCCTGATAAATTTCCTCCCTTTTAAACCCTTTAAAACCTTGCCCTGGGGCTGGGTACAGTGGCTCAGGCCTTTAATTCTAGCAGTCATCTAGGCTGAGGCAGAGAATCCCTTGAGCTCAGGAGTTCTAGACCAGTCCGAGTAAGAACAAGACCTATCTTTATTAAGAATAGAAAAGTTGGCTTGGCGCCTATAGCTCAACCGGCTAAGGCGCCAGCCACGTACACCTAAGGTGGCGGGTTCG